TCTCTTATTTTCTCTGCATGTCCCCTTACCTTACCTTTTTGACCATGTTCTTTAGGCTAGGGCCCAGTTAGTCCCATTTCGTCAGAGGTCCTTCCACCCACCATGTGTGAAATTCACCTGTTCCCCTGAAGCAGAGATAGTTCTAAGTTTCTTTTGAATTAATAACTTATATAAAATGATTAATTCCAGTTATAATTAATGTGAAATTATCAGAGTTTCTATTGAGGGAAAAGTAAGCTTAAACATATAATCTGATAATATTATATTGTGTGTTCAGATTTATATAATATACACTAAACTGTTATTACATTAATAAAACCAAAATTCCTAAAGCATTTCAGAAACGTGGTAGCAACTGTAACATAAACAGTTCATTTTCCAGATATTTGGAGCAAGTTAACACAAACTAGTAATAATACTCAAACAGAAACTGGAACTATTTTTGTACAATATGGGTGAATTTTTATACAAAACACCTTTTCAGTGCAAGAAAAATGGAAATTGAGCAAAGCTTCCAAGTAGAAATATGCATCAAATGGAGAATAAGAAAAAAAGGCATAATAATATTCTATCAGTTAGCTTTTACTGCCTAACAAACCACCTGGACACTTATTGGTTTAAAACATTTATTAACTCACAATTCTTAGGTCAACAATTTGAGCAAGGTTCAACTGTATGGTTCTGCTGATCTTTGCTGGTCCCTGCCATACATCTGCAGTCAGATGCAAGGCTGGCTGGTGGCCGGATGATCTAAGATGACACGACTCACTTGTCTGGAGGTTGGGAGGCAGGTGGCTGAGAGCTGGATGACTGGTTCTCTTCCACAAGACCTCCAGTATGCTAGTTTGGGCTTATTCAGATAGTGGTCTTAGGGTTCCAACAGCAGCAAGAGAGGAAACCTTGGCTTGGAACTTGCCCATTATTTCTGCCACATTTTGTTGGTCAAAGCAAGTCACAAGGCCAGCCCAGATTCAAGGGGCAGGTAAGTAGATCCTACCTCTTGGTGGGAGGAACTACAAAATATCATGACCATGTTTACAATCAGCCACAAATGTGTTGCTAACACACAAATGTGTGTCAGCACTAATGTAATTGCTTTACGTGTGTTAACTGACTCAATCATTTTATCAACCCATGGAAGTAGGTATGAGGGTCCTTCAAGTTCGTGGAAAATAGAATTAAAAGATAATTCAAATCTTTCCATGAACTTTTTGAGTACCCTTGTATTGCTACTGAATATGTTTCATTGATGAGAAAACAGGTACTGAGAAGTAACTTGCCCAAGGTCATATAGGTTGTGACAGAGCTGAATTTGAGTCCAGACATCTGGTTCCAAAGACTGCACTTTTTTTTTTTTGTTTGTTTGGCGGCTGGCTGATATGGGGATCTGAACACTTGACCTTGGTGTTACAAGGCTGTGCTTTAACCAACTGAGCTAACCACCAACTGAGCTAAGCAGCCATCCCCAGAGGCTGCACTCTTAACCAATAAGCTATACTGCCTCAAAAGCACAGTGGAAGAACTTTATCATTTGTTTGGAGCAGATTCGATAAGGCTCCAACCTTGTAAACATTAAAATAGTTTGTTCACATTTCAAATTTGGCTTTATCAATACATGCCTTACATAAGTGAAAATTTGTACAGGGAACTCTAGAATGAACTATTTCTTTAACAATTTAGTCTAAAAACTAGGATTCTAAGTGGATCAAAGATACAGCTTTTTCTTACTCTGTTGAATAAGCAACTTAACAAAAAATATCCTAAGTTGAAGTTCATAGAAAATGTAGCCTTTCTTCTTCTTTTTTTTTTTTTTTTTTGTCTTTTTTCGTGTCCGGCAACGGATCGCAACCCTCAGTGTCGCGCCCGTACCGGACCGGGACCGGCAACGGATCGCAACCCTCGGC